TCCTGAATAGTTGCTTAGATTCTTTAGCTTATCTCTCTCAAATTTGCAAGGATAATCTTTTCCTTTAGTTTGCCTCCTCAGATGAATGTGATTCAATTTCATTGCAGATATAACTCCATTCTAATGCTTACTGAGGAAATCAAGCTACCAGAAATCATTTATTCGTGGGTGTCGAAATTACGAAGTAACTTTACCTTATCATAAATAATCATTTCCCCTTTGAATCATTTTAGTTTGCGCTAATGTCCAACATTTTCTTCAATAAATGAAATCATCTTTAATGAACACTACAAGCGAGAGGCCATTTAAGCTTGAGAAAAGTAATTCAGAACAAATATTTTCTAGGCGTTAATCGATAACAATTGAAATCTTACTTTTCAATATGGAGCTATGCGCAAACTTAGCTACAAAGACTACGTTCATTCATACCCAGAAGACTGAGTAAGAATTCCGAAGTTTATATAGACTTGTTTATAAAGCCTTGGAAGCAAATAGATGATAAATGAGGATAGATAAATAAATTTCTGGTTTCCATACATGAACATGATTTGATTTTTTCACTGAAACGCGAATAAAATCAGAACATATATTGAACGAAGTTAATATGATGAACAGTTCATTTATAAGCGCTTCAATGAAAAGGAATTAGCTTCAGTAAAATATGTTTTCAGTTAATGCTTGACTGCCCCCACTCGATTACCAGTTATTTACTAAATCTATGCCAGAAAGTCAGTCATTTATTCACTATGGGTCGTGTAAGGCGATGGTAATCCCTTATTACAAGCGTTTCTCATCGACAAGCATTGTGTAAAATATTTTACAGGAGAAGCTTGGCTTGCCTTGCAAGTTAAATTTGTTCCGTAACTATACTGGCACTCATGGCGTAGGACTATCCTGTTGAGAATATATCCAGGATGGATTCTCCTTGGTAGTGCTGATGAGGTTCAAGCGAAAGCGAAACGGCAGTCCATTCTGGATAAGAATACCTTTCATTATCCTTAAGCCTACTTTATTCATGTGAAAAAATTCAGTTGTGTCTTTCATTACTTTAGGCGACCTAGAGTGAAATCACTTAACATTAGGAATTTCTCAGCACATTCTAAATGGCTTTATTTATTTATATTTATATTTATATATATATATAGGCCTTATAATGACTTTGTTCACGGTTAATTACATATAAGACTTTATTTTTGCATTTAATTTTCCTTTCATATGCATTCCAAAGATCTGGTCTCATTTAGGGCTAACCGCGGTTTCGAACTCGCTCAGACTACATTATCGCCATCAGTGGGATTTTAGAAGTGGCCATGAATGCTTAGATGGCCATTATATCGCTTTCATCGTCAAGACGCTTGTCGCAAAGCGCAAGTAGCTTTTGACTTTAAGGGATTCATGTTTGCGGAGAACGAAACTTTGGAATGAATAGGAAAATAACTTGTTTTTCAACTAAGCAAACAGTAAAAACTGATACATTTATTTAGAAAATATCCTTAGTTTACTTGCCTATGGAAATTTAAATTTATAAACTTTGCTTGAAGAATAAGCAAAGAACGTATGAAAGGTTATATTCAAAATATGCGAGAAAAGAGATTGACCAAGATCAAAATTCAGTCATTGTCAAACACTGACTCTTCGAATGTTGACAAAGTAAGTCATATTTTCTGCTGGGATAGTTTCTGAGGGCCTACACAGTAATACTGCTGAACATTCTGATAATCATCTGTACGATTTTCAGGAATTATCCTGCCCTGACATTTCACATTGTGCGCAAACAAATCTGCCTTAATCTGTTTACCTTATCCTTAGTCGACCTTCAAATAAAACAAAGTTTAGGCCGTCAAAATCCATTTCCGCCTTAACAACTACTACCACCTCTACCGAATGTACAATCATCAAGTAGACTCAGCTTGGCAATTCCTTTCATTTATTTCATTAGCCGTACATCACTTCTGTATCATAACTGGCAAGCAAATCTTATGTAATCATCAATTCTAAATGATCAGACTTAGAAACCTTTTACGGCCTTATTAGCGAAAGAAAAGCTGAACTGTCCATTGGCAACCCGAGAACAGAGCGCTTCTTCTATGCAAACAAGACTGCAGCCAGCTGACGAACTCCCACCTTATCCTACCGCTCAAGCACAAGTTTGGAAGTGCCATAGACGGCGTCACTATCGTGGAGGTATGAGCTATTCCTTGGGTCGGACGGAGCGTGTGACCACGCTCACCATGACAGCTGCATTTAGACCACCCCCAGGCACTGTTTACTGGGACGCTTCAACACATCCAAGGGGCCTCAACAGCTACCCGATGGTGCGAATCACGATGACTAAGTCATATCATCTAGCAGATTCACAGATAATAAGGGACTTTGAACAGCAATGCAGATGCTTCATTAGCAGACATGAGTCAGTAGATGACTTCTTGGATGTCAGGGAAGGTAAGCGATCTTCTACTTCACTGCACAATACCTTTTAGTATGACACAATTCTCCTGAGGAGAATAGCCACTTCTTATTGTGGAGTTTGGTTAGGATTCATGAGTGAATTTAAGGAGAGATATCTTAATATTCTACCTAGGATTTCTGCTAATGTCTGTAGATAGTGTGAGTGCCCAAGTTTTATTTTCCTTTGCTATACTTGAAAACGGTCTGCGGCAACTAATCTTGATTATGACAATAACATGAGGCTAAGTTGCATCTCGGGCAAATTTATAAATCAAAGAAGCCCCAATTATTAATTATCAAAATACAAGGCAGGTCCAGATAACACATTTGTAACTTTTTTATGTCTGGCTATGGCTTGATTCCCGTCATGACCACTGCTTTAATCACGCACAAAATGAAGATTAAGTAGAGGATTGTTTTAAATCTCGATTCCACCTGGTTTTAATGGCCTGACTACTAGTTATTAAGCAATTGCTTTCATTCTTCAAATTGCGCCTAAGTTTATAAAATGCATGTTACCAACCACTTTATTTCAGCCTGACTATCGAAGAGCTCTTAGTATTGCAATAAAAAAATAGGCTTGAGCCAACCTCTTATAGAAACTCCTAT